CTGTTCTAAGCCACAGGACTCAAAAGGGCTAAAGGTTGGGTTTAAAGATCTCTTGATGCAGTGTAATGAAGGATACTTTCGCTGCCCAGAAACCCCAACCCCACAGCACATTTTACTTACAGAAACACTCAGAGCCATGGCTAAGCCACCCTGCCTTTGAGGCTCTGGTAAGCTCCTGTATATTTTGGCAGATACGGTAGAAAAATACCAACCAAAAGAACAAAGAAACAGGCAGGATCAGTATGCAGAAATCAGGTCAGCAAAGTGGTACTTGTAAAACACAGCGAGCGTATGTTACACCGCCAGCACAGGCGTTAAATCAATACATGAGACGATGAGGTGTTAGCAGAGGGCAAGCAGCTATAGATATCGTCTGGTTTAATTGCATTGCTGCACCTCTGGAAGCTGTTAGAGGTGAGTAAACACGCCAGTGTAAAGGCTTAATGATGACTTACTCTGTAACGCATTCCATCTTCAGAACACCACCCGCCTGAGACATGTAGGTAAATATTAACCCCGCTCTGCAGCTGGCTTACTTACAAGCTACCAGCAGGCAGGTGATGCTGGCAGGCTGCAGAGCCTGATTTATAGCTCAGCTGTGGGGAGTCGCTCGGTTTGTCTGCACCTCAAGGTAGTCTCATGCTGTCACGAGTCCTTCTCCAGCCTGTGGATAGAGATGTGGGTAGTCAGGCAGCTCCTGTGGTGGGAGGATAATGGGTAGCTGGCTGCAGGAGCACTTCCAGCCTCCTCAGCTCTGGATTTCATGGGCAGGCAGTTTGCCCCCCTGTTTGTCAGCAATTGCTAGGGGCAGCCAGGGAAAAGCTTCCTCTTATTTGGCAGAGAAAAAAAGGTCCTGACCTCATTTCCCCAGTGTAAATCAGGAGAAATGATGCTAAAACCACAGGGGTTGCAGCATTAGGGCCAGAGTGGTTACAAGGGAATCGGTTCCTCATTATTTATTGATCACACAGAGGATATGATTGTTGCTGTTACAAAGAGTTGACCAGAGAATAGAGGACTTTTCATTAAAGAAATAAATGTTGCAGAGTGTTCTAGAGGCTAAGGGACTGAATAACAAACGATTTATGGCTCTTTTAACATCTAATAGCATTGCAACACACAACGTCTATCACTTCCTAATTCACTATAAATAGTTAAAAAGCAGGTCTTTAAAGATAAATAAGTGATACTTTCTTGACACTGGCTTATTGAAGAGACCGCTCTTGCTGTCTTGGAAAAGGGATGCCCCTGGTGATCATGGCTAGGTACACAAGGGCTGTGGGGTGGATGGCAGCCAGCACAGCCACATGGGAGACAGTCAGCAGGGCACGGCAGGACCAGCACCAGGATTTGGTTTGCAGGCTAGAACACACACACACTGAGGTCATAACACTGTTTTGGGTAAGTCTGTTTAGCCTGTGTGTACTGAGATATTAATAGTGCCCTACACCACTGTGCACGAATGGGATGGCTGGTGAATGTGCATTTTCATTCCCTTTCTTTTGTTTAACTTGCCAGTGAGTCACTTTGGCTCGTTGCACAGGCCAGTATTTGTTAGCATCATTAGACAGTGTGATTGCATCGTAAATCACACTGCTATTAAAGCAAATCCCCAGCTCTGCAGAGCACAGATGTGCCCTGTGAACACCCAAATATCTACAAGTCCCTACTTTCTCTGAGAGGGCAGGTTATATTTATAGAACCATAGAATGGTTTGGGTTGGAAAGGACCTTAAGATCATCCAGTTCCAACCCCCTGACATGGGCAGGGACACCTCACACTAGACAATTTGGTCCCATTTTATTCTGATGTTCTGTAAAGAAATCACTCATTTGTTTGCTCCTTTGAACTCTGTGAATTACTTACGTCCAAAATGAATCATGAGTCATGATGAGGTGGAGAAAAGCTATCTGTACTAAAGGAACAAGTCCTTCCATCTTGGGATGGAAGTCCAAGTCTCCCATCTGAAGAACTTGAGTCCCAAAAGTCAGGTCAGGGGTAGTGAAGGATGCAGTCTGAGATCAAACAAGGTGAGGTGAAGTGGTTAAGAACAGAGAAGCACTGCAAGTGGTGCAGAGGCCGTAAACTAACACACAACAAGTCTCACCTCAGCACGAGGAAGAACTTCTTCACACTGAGGGTGTCAGAGCCCTGAACAGGCTGCACAGGGGGGTGTGGAGTCTCCCTCTCTGGAGACATTCAAACCCTCATGGACACGTTCCTGTGTGACCTGCTCTGGGTGGCCCTGCCTTGGACCGGGTGATCTACAGAGGTCCCTTCCAACCATAATGGTTCTGTGATCCTGTGAAAAGGAGCAGTGCAGCAATGGCACCGCACCTCTTCTGCTGCACTGTGGCTAAGCTGGAAAGGTGCAGTAGAGCTGGAAACTCAGTGGGGTTCCTTTGAGCAAGCAGGATGAGGCCATGTGCTGATTATGCTGCTGGGCCGTGGCCTGAGGTGTTGACTTGTGCCTGCAGCACGTCAGGATGGGCTGGCTGAAGCTCATAATACAAAGAGGTACTCATGCTAGCCTTTCCGAAGTCTGTAGTAAAGTCACACACTTCCAACACCTTCTCACAATCATGGTCAATTCTGTGTGCTCCATGTTACCGTTCAGATACTGTGTCATTCCCCATAGAAGCCCAGTTTCCATTAATACTGCCTCCAATTGCTTCCATCCATCTCATACGTTTTTGCACTCATTTTCTGCATTTCTTACTATGCAGAAGGCAATCTGAGTACAACTTCGGCCTCTCAGACAAGGCATAGCTTGTTTTCTAAATGCCATCTTCTGGGTAACGTACACAGAAGCATAACCTTATTAGACACAGTTTCTGGTTATTAAAGACGTGAAGCATTAATATCCATGCACAGAGATTCTAACTAAGCATACTGCTGAATTAGAATACCAGTCGTGTTATCACTAATCATTCAGACCTTTGGGCATCAGCAGAGCTCACCTAACAGTGTTAGAGCGAGGAATGAATTTGTCTGTGAGAAGAACAGCAGTAGTTGGTTTATCTTGCCTTCATCTTCCAAAGAAAATCCAGGTTATGCAATTAAATACACGATTAAGAATATATCTGATTCAAAACCATCATGCGCCGAGCATTCTGATGAGTGAGTCAGTGAAAACAGGAAACCCTCCAAGTTATTGTGGGGTCTAGAAGCCAGAACATCAACAGGGAAAAATAACATGGGGAAGGAAGCGTGAAACCTTGAATATGCATGGAGTACTGGTGCAGGCAGTGGCGACATTAATGCCCTTCAGCCACGACACTTGGATTCCATTTGCTCAGCACCTTAAGGTGCAAAAAACTGCAAAACATCTTACTTGATTGAAATGCTTTGTAAAAATGCTGGCTGCCACGAGTAGGTACCAACCTGAAGACTTTGTTTTGGTGATTATGGGTGCTAAACACCCAGGGCATTCCCTGAGCAGCCACCTTTAAGAGTGGAGAAGAGCAAAAGCCAAGGCAGGATGACTGAGCTCATGGAAATGGAAGTTAGAGCAGCTCTAAGTGCCTCTTCACACCACCCCAAACACACGGTGGGTTTGCCACTGTTCCTGGAGCAGCTCTCACACCAACAGCCATGTTAGCACAAGGTGGTAACTCTCACCAAGCAGCCACAAGAGGAAAGCAGCTTCTCAGATGCTAACGGCTCATGGACCTGTGCCCACGGCTGTAGGGTTCTACCTCCGAAGAGCTTACTTGACAGTGGCGATGGTGACTGCTGCCTTCAGCCCTTGCCTTGCTCTCTCTTAGGGGTTTCACTCTCCTGCTCCCCCCGAGGAGGAGGTTCAGCTGTTTCAGCTTACTGAACTGGCATGTAACGATGCTGTGGGATGGTCTATAAGTGGGACTTATGGGAAGCTGTGCTGCTGTGCAGTGCTTTCTATCAGTAATGCTCCTCATGTGCTCTATTCCTTTAGCATATGTCTATTTTCTTTCTTTTTTCTGAAGTAACTCAAACCTCTACATTTCAGTTCTCTGAAGTAACTCAAAATCCTACAGTAATGTATAAACTTGCACCCCTCAACACACCTACTTATTAAATTCATCGAAACCACCAAAGCTTAAATTAAGAGCAGAGGAGCTGATACATCCTCCTTCCCTTATTCTTCGTCCAGGTTGGCTGCTCAATGCTTTCAACTGATGAATAAAGATCAATTTCTTAAAATCACCGCAACGAGCATTGATTTAATTCTTTTCTGAAGCCACACTCCACACTTTAGAGCAGGCAGTGTAAGGAAGCCTCCAGCACTCTCTGTTCCTGTGCTAAGTCCAAGCCTAGAAGTATTAGTATTGCCTGCAGCAAGTTTTAGCTGAATTGCTCACATATTCCATTGCTTGCTAAATAACCGCAGCTAGAAACATGCTGAGCAAAACCAGACAGTGCAGCAGCTGTAGGAAATAAAGGCAAGAAAATGAAGATGGTCAAAGGGAAAGAACATTTTGGACCTTTTAAACCCTAATGTACGAGACAGAGTAATAGAGAGGTGAAGTATGCTTGTGTCATTGAGGGAGTCAGAGTGGGAGTTTGAAAATGGTTTATGTGCACTGTCATGAGAAATTGGTTTTGTGATGAATGTGGGATTGGAATATAAAAAGAGGTAGATAAAGCATAACAATTATTTGTCAAGTAATAGCACACAACATGTGCTTGGGCGCTTGCTGTGAATGCTTTCTGTTGCTGTAGTCCTCAGCACTGAGGCTTCTGGTATTTTAAATACATTAAAGAAATGTATTAACTCTTTGATGTTTTCCAGCTTAAGAGCGCTCTGAATATCGTTGTTAGAAACTGGGATTTTAAGTAGGGGTTTTTGTCAGAAATATCATCAATATTATTCATCTTTCTATATGTAACAGAAGAAAGAGATCAATAGAGACAACTTGATAGCCATGGAGATACTAAAGACAGTGAACTATCATCTGAATCACACACAGTTTGATGGAATTAACTGGAGGATTTTCCCAAAGTGACCCTGTTCCAGTCACACAGTTACACGGGGGCTGTCCTCATGGCCATCAGCAGGAGTTACGTGCACAGATAATGGTTCTTGGGTTAGTTTTTGAAGAGCTGGATCACTCAGCATCTGTGCTTCAGGGACTTTGTTTTTCTTACACAGGTAAAGCCACTGGTTTCTGCTTCACTGTGCTCTGCACATGTAAGAAAACAGATTAGCAAATGCTGTTTTCTTCTGTACTTTATGTGGGAGTAAATCTCTGACCCATTCCACCCACAACACTTCAGTTAGCATTGGGCAGCACCATTATCCATCTTACCGGCTGAATTCAGGGAATTCAAAGTCGTCACAGGCATGAAGCATTCCACATGTAGGAGGAAAGTAAGAGCTGTCTTAACCCAGCACGGGCTGGTGCTTGTAAGTGTTATGATGGCAGTGTCAGGGGGAGAGGATATGAGTCCCTTTCAGAACTGGAGATAAGTGGCATTTTGGAGGATGAGTTTCGTCATGGGCAATCTGCTTTCCCATCAGGGTAGCTAAGGCAAACTCTATGGATTACACATTATATGCAGGGCAAAGGAGCATTCCCAGGTTATCTACAACAATTCCTAGTCAAACTCTGAAAAAAGATAATAAAACAACCTAAAAAGGCCTCAATAAAGCTGAGTATTAGTTAAAGACATCACTACAAGGCTCATACAGAATCTCAGAAGGCTTTGGGTTGGAAGGGACCTTAAAGCCCATGTAGATCCAACCCCCTGCTTCTGGCAGGGACATCTTCCACTAGACCAGGTTGATCCAAGCCCTGACCAACATGGCCTTGAACACTGCCAGGTATGGGGCATTTACCACTTCTCTGAGCACCCTGTGCCAGAGCCTCAGCACCCACACAGGGAAGAGCTTCTGCCTTACATCTGACCTATACACAGGCATTCCTGAATAGCTCAGTTAAAGTTCTTTTCTGCTCAAAAAGGCTTTCAGGCTAAAACCTCATTTATTTCCTAAATTGTGAATGTGGTTTTCCTAAACTGCCCTACAAGGAAGTCTTGCAGTATTCTGTGGAGCTGTGGAGCACTGCATGGGATGGAGTGTAGTCAACAGAGGGCAAGAGGAACGCGAGGTCTGCTGGTGGTGCTCCTCTCCAGAAGCTGCCACCAATCCAGCTTTGGTGAGAAACTGCTGCTTGTGTGAACCTGATGTAAACTTGTTCACAGTCATATCCACCATAGCTGTGCTTCCAGGGCAGCAGGAAAGGTCATGCGTGGCCAGGGGAGAGCACAGAGGCATAAGGCATCTGTCTTCATGCTCCTAACACCATACGAATAGATAGTGGGGATTGGGGTGCCATGGGAAATCACCGTGTCGGGGAAGGGATGGGGTGTTGCATGTAAACATCATGCCTCAAAGTGGGTTTCTCTGGGTTAAGAAAATGATGTGACCCTGCATCATTAAGCGCTTTACTTGTCCTGGAGGAAATGAAGAGATCTCAGGAATTCACAGTAAGTATTGCCTGAAGCAAGTAGTTTCCAGTATCCGTTTAGAAGCAACTACATTTCTGGCATAATTAGGCACAGCTCATATTCCCCAGAGAAAATGTGCTAAAACACGCAGTGCAAGAAAATAAATGAAGTAGCCCTATGATTAAATTTCCACTGGCTCCCTCCACAGCAATTTCTTCATATATTCACCTTCTAGAAAGTATTTCTTACACCCTGGGGGATTCTTTTGGATTAATGAGAATCTCTTCCAGGAACATTCATCATTTAGTAATGATTTGTTTTTAATACATCAGCTCACAGCAGCACCTTTCAATGGGAAAAGCAGTTCCAGAGAACAGATATTGCCTGGCTAAACTGTGGGCAAAATTGTGCGGAATACTTTAATTTAACAACACAAGGCTCAAACCATACCCTGAAGTGCAAAAAAGAACCCATAATGAATAAAATAATGTTCACGTTCTGCATTTTTTATTGTGCTTCACACGCTTAAAATGCCATATGGGATTTAGCTCATGAATCCTTTCCCTACCAGTATGGGAAGAGTAAATATTATTTCCTCCACAGGTAGACACAGACATGTTTTCAGAGGGCTTGAGCCTCATAAACTGTGACCTGTACACGTATATCAGCTTATAAAAGCAGGGCTGCAGTGAGCTGGCCTGGCCACTCAGCCATTTACTACTAAAGCTAGGTTGCTACTAGACCAGCACTTGAAACATCTGCTACGTCCTCTGCTTGCACAGCCTTTCCATGTGCCATCATCCAGGGCCTTCTGTTTCTGCATTACCTTAACTGAAAAGTAATGTTTCGGACCCAGGAGTTGCATACCTGAGCTGAGTGTAACTTTAAACACTGATTCCTAAATGAGATCATTGCTCCTCTGACTGTGCAGAGGTTGCCAAGGTGTGAGACATCTACCTTTGGTTAGCAAAGGCAGGGTGAGACGCATCCCAACATTTTGATCAAGGATATGTGGGAAAGGTGGCATGTGAGGGCTCCCACGATCCATGAGATAGGGTTTTGGGCAGGCACATGAGTAGAGGGTTATTCACACACAGGTCTTTAAGGAATTAAGGAGGAAGGAAGCTCTTCAAATGCATCGATTTCTCATTTAGCAGGTGAAGACAGTAGTTTAGGGCCCCTGCTCTATGCCTGGGGCAGGGTGTGGAAGAAGTCCTGACCACAGGACATAGGTTAGGTGACCTACAGGGTGAGACAGAGACAACTTTGCACTTGGGTTTTGCCATCAGCACAAGGTTTCCTTTGTCTTATAGGTACCACAGACCAAAGGCTTGAGAGGTACAGTCTGAATGGGTGGAAAGCAGAGTGGAAAAGCAGAAGAAACTGATAGCACAGTTTCCTGAAATACTTTCTTATAGGTTGATAATAAAGACGTACTTGTGGGAAAGAGAAGTGAGAAATCTACAGACAGAAAATGTCAAGATAAAAACATGCTATGGAAAGAGAGAAGGGAAGAGGGAGATAGTAAGAAAGAACAAAGCTGAAAATGATTGCTTTTCAGTGACAGAAGACAAATGGCGTGAAGCTTTGGAGACAATGAAGACAGGGACTAAAAAGGAAAATTATGTAGGTAGTCTTTAAAATGTATGAGTGAGAGAGTACTGGCAAGACAGATAAGAATGCTATAAGCAGCATACCAGCATGTAGTCTTGTTAACAGCAGTGGCCCAGCCTGGGAAATACAGTCATACCAGCATTACTTCAGTTCAGCTGAAAAGCTTTAATGCAGTTGTGATGAACATTCCTGTGCCGGACAACGAGAAACGGGCATTTGACACAGAAAGATAGGGTGGAAGATCCATATCCACCCCATAAAAACAACTTTTAGCATGCTTTCCTTACAACCTTGGAGAACATCTGAAGCAAAATCAGTGTATGCAGTGTACGCAGGAGAGTGCCGTGCCGTTTCATTGCTTGGTTTCCAGCAACATGTAGAGTGATTCCTTTTCTCTTTTTGTTTATGGTATAGAGGTTCCACTTCAATTTTTCCCAAGCCTCCCATGTCTTCCCAGGCTCTCATTCTCTTTTGCCTTCACTTTTGCCATTTGGCACCAAAACTGCAATCAACTATTCAAGCAAAGCACTAAAAAATTTGATTGAATGTGAAGTACGGAATCAAGTCCCTAATTCATCTCTGTCAGCTTTCTTTTTTCTCTATGATCTTAATCACTGCCTTTTTCCTAGTTGATACTTAGCAACTTCATCGCAGAATGTGCTGGCACATTTCATCTCTTTTATGCTTTTTCTATGTCTTTTGTTGCCGGTATTCCTCCGTGCTCTTCTTCTGTAGCTCCGTTTTAACCACTTCATGTTGCTTAGCAACACCCAGAATGACACCAACAAGGTAAGGTCCCACTGCTTCGAGCGAGTGTCACCACAAAAGGGACAAAAATACAGTTTAACTTCACACTCCCAGTGAATTCACTTCCTTGTAACGGCATCCATGTCAAATCCATGTCTCATTAATCAAATGTTTTCCTATGACAGCTAGGAACAAGACGAACACACAGCAGCACAGTGTTTCATAGGATATTTGGATCTTCCCGTTCTGCTCTGACATTGTTAACTTGTGGAGATAATAAGCAAGCTAAAACAAGAGATAAGGTTTTGGATCCTGGCTTTCCCAACATGCAGATCCAGAGACTCTGATTATCATATAAATGATCAAGTTTGGATCCATATCTTGGAAGGCGTTTATATTGTGACAGTGTGGGCACAAATGTAATGAAACACCATCCCGATATATCCAATCAATAACTTTAATATCCCAAATTTTCTTTGCTTTCTCCCTTGGCATAAGAGAATAGGAACAAAAAAAGGGCTAAGCTACTTCTTCAGTTGTTTGGGGGTTTTCTAATTTATAATTGTTTGGGGCAATTTGTTGGATGAGAATCACTATGAAGGTGGGACAAGAAACACAGAGCCTCATCCATCACAACCTGTTATCAACTCTAAATCATGGAAGAGATTTATCTTCCCCACAAAATCACTTTTGCAAGACGAAACACTCAAACACACTTCTGATCTTGATTGAAATGTTCTGCTTTTGAGGGGAGAAGTGGAAAGCGATGGTTTGGTTTTAAAAGGTGTTTTTATGAATCAGTTACTGGCTACAAAGACTTTTTATGTTTGGAAGTCTGAATATGTTTGAGATTTGATATTTACACAGTTACTAAAAATGTTTTTCGAAAAATCAAGACCTTTCTCTGAACTATGTTTTAAAAAAATCACATTTATTCAGTAAAATTCAATAAAAATAAGTGGCATTTTCACACTAGCATCAGAACGAAGCGAATTCCCAGACTAGCAAGGACTTACATTGGAGTGAGAAATCCTGGCTCTGGCTTTATAAACTGCGTGTATAAATACCAGAGAGGAACAAGAATGTGATACCTACTCTTATATCTAGATAGAGATTCTTTGATCTTCAGTCATACAAAACTTCAATTACCTATTTGATTTCACTGGGCTTTTGTTCAGCCCCTGGGATCACGTAATGTCAGCCCTGGAGATACTTTTATTCAGCAAGCGAAGGTCACAATGAGTAATAATTACTCAGCCAACTAAGTCTTTTAATAAGGTTTTTCTAGGGCCTGGTTCAGTAGCCCTTACTCATATTGAGGGTTATTCACTGCACAAACATTGCTGCTGTTGCAGTCGTATTAATCATCGAAAGCACTAAAAGGACTAAGTCCTGAATAAGTAACAACTCTCACATTAATCCACGTATGGCAATTTTGCCCCAAACACTTCTACTTTCTGACATATGAAACTGCTACTTATTACTGATAACCTATCTAACAACAGTGTGCTGATGTAATCTGCAATTATGATCATACAGTGCTACTTTTGAATATGTTTATTATGGGAAGCAATGTGGCACCAAGTAACAGCAACACTGTTTGCATGCTAAAACTTAAAACTACATATTTGTCTGTATACTTTTGCTTCTAATACATCTATAGATCATAACAAAGAAAATAACGTGAAGGAGATTCAATTCTGAGGTCTGAATATACAGAAAGAATATATGCCAACCTAACACTAGCACTTTACAACAGTCTCTCTCTGGAAAGAGCTCCTGGTTTCTGGAATGAAACGAAAGAAGTAAAAATCTGTAATATAGTTGCACTACATAAAAAGGAAATCAAGCAAGTGCCCCTGTTTCTAAGTACTCCTTGCTTTCCAACAACGTACATAAATAAAGTCAGGATCACTTACCAGGGAACACGATCCACCAAATAGTGAAGGAAAACCAGTGTTATGCAGTAGGACTTGTTCCTCACCATCCTTTTCCTCCCTTTTGTTTTGACATAGTTCTACACAGCAAGTCCTCTTGTACAGATGTATGCACATATAAGCATAAATATACTTACATATAAGTGTAAATATGCCCTCCCTAATAATATGAAGGGTTATATATAGCGACTAACCTGCTCTCTCGCTGACCCTGCTACCAACTGGTTTTAGGAATAAATCCAAATGAATACAAAAGGCTTAGAATCATCCCCAGCAAAGCAAGCTCCACCGCCAGTCCAAAAGCAAAGAAAGAAGACACTTCGGTCTCTGAAGTTGGCATCTAAAACCAGCTGGGGTGCAGACACATCGCTCCACATCGTGCTGGGCTTGACTCTCCTGGCTTTGATTCAGATGCAATCCCCATGGATGTGGGCGAAAACTGTGTGCACCTTTTGTTACTCAAAATTATCAGTTACTTAAAGTCATAGCAGCAGCCACAGCTATGGGAGCAGGGTTACCGACGTTAGGTATTATAGCAACTCACAGTCTGCATAATGCATTTCCACTCTCTGTTCTTTACAGGAGAAACCCTGCTGCCTCCTCACTGAAACCAGAGGGTTCAGGGAGTTGGGTCCAAGCTCAGCCCTGTAGATCAGGTAATATCTGTGCCCTTCACTGAACCTTAAATGCTTCTTTAAAGCACAGAAACATGGACCATCCTCTCCCTGCAAAGCGAACATCCCTAGGCCGATGGTTACTGTGATCTAAGGAAGCACCTTCCCTAGCTTAGAAGTGCTCTTTGCGCATTGAGTCTGAGCTCAGCATACCCTGAAAATGTTGCAGTTTGTTGTATTCTGGATGAGATTTGCCTTTCAGTTTTCTTGCTTGTCTGTTCAATGCCATTCCTGTGTTTTAAACATTCCACATTTTAGCAGATTCTTAATAGTAGCTCCACTTACAAGGGTACTTATAGGACACCTATGAGCAAACCTCTCTATCTGTCCCTTCTATCACGCTGTTTAAGTGAAGTAGCAAACTATTCTGAGCGTGGCACTGTCTGTTTGCAGGGTTTGTATTCAAGCTGGTGTCATTAGAAGTTGGAAGACACAAACCATATTGTACCAGTTTTGGCGTGCCAGCTGAGAGGTGTCTGCAAGAACTGCAAATAATAATCCTTTAATAACTGAAGCTGCCTGTTTCAGACAGCAGCACCACTCTCTTGACCAGATGACCTGTGGAGGGTCCTTCCAATCCAAACTGTTCTATGATTCTTGCTTATGTCGATGCAATTCAGAAAACCGACAGCACGTCACTAGTGAAACTAGGAGAAGCAAAACAGAGATCCCAACCTTGAGTTTAAGCACAGGCTCCCTGCTCGCAATGCACTGAAAAGGCAGCAAAACCTCCAGCAATTGTTAACCCTCTGTCTAAATGGATCTCATCCAAAAAAAAAGAAACACTGTCCCTAAGTACATCTTCATTTAAAAGATCAAATCCTTCCTAGCATGGCAGCTCCTCTGAGGTTTATTCCACATGTTAGAGCAATTCTCTTAGCATGTCTGTGCATAGAAGGACTTGCACGAGGTGGAAACAACGCTATGTTCTTCACATCAAGGAAAGAAAAACAGGGCTCTGTAAGCTAAGTGTATGACGGAAGGTCCCCTTTGGACCAACAGGTCAGATGGACACTTCTCATGGTGACTGGATCCTCTACTTTCTGATAGCAACACTACTGCAGTGTTCACTCAAGTGGTGCGCCCATTAAGAATAATAGGAAAAACAGCGGGTGCAGAGGGAGGTAGCCTGGTAACATGGATCATTTTATCATCTTGATTTATTTCTGCTGTTTGTCCATCTTTTTCTCTCTGCATTATTTTTTTTCCAGATAGCACACACATAAAACATGCATTTATTTTATTTTGTTCTCAATTAAAAAAATAGGAATCCTAAGAATTTAATCCTTGCAGACACTTCATCCAGTCATTTCCACCAGTCCATAGGGAAGAAAACATTACAAATACATCGAATAAGCCTCATGTGAGCTTGTGTATTCCTAACAAATTAAATACATTGATCTTAACAGAGGAATGAGTTCCTATTGTAAATCTTTCTCATTTAGCTCATGTTTTGCTTTGAAACTTCAGCTGGACTAACAATATCTAAGGCAAATAGAACAACTTCTCATCAGGCTAAACAGTTGGAGGTATACAACAAATGATATCTCAGGCTGTGCAGCTGTCTGCTCGGACAAGAGAGAAGAAACCTCGCACATCTTTCTTCCTTGCACACTTGCACAGTTCCTGATCAACACCTCCTGCCTTCTCTCCACCCTACAGGCTTTCTGTGAGCAACCCCATGATGAAAGAGAGGTGTGATATTGCCATGCCTCCAACAGATACACTGCATCCGAGTTGTTTTTCATAGAATCCCAGAATGGTTTGGGTTGGAAAGGACCTTAAGCTCATCCAGATCCAACCCCCTGCCACGGGCAGGGACACCTCACACTAGAGCAGCTTGCTGAAAGTCCCTGTGTCCAACCTGGCCTTGAACACTGCCAGGGATGGGGCAGCCACAGCTTCTCTGGGCACCCTGTGCCAGTGCCTCAGCACCCTCACAGGGCAGAATTTCTTCCTTATATTCAACCTGAATTTCCCCTGTTTCAGAACCCATCACCCCTTGTCCTATCGCTACAGTCCCTGATGAAGAGTCCCTCTCCAGCATCCTTGTAACCCCCTTCAGACACTGGAAGCTGCTCTGAGGTCTCCACACAGCTTCTCCTCTCCAGGCTGAACAGCCCCAGTGTTCTCTCCCATATTTTTGAGGGACGCACTCTGTGGAAATCAATGACTTGCCCCCACACTGAAGCCATCCCACCAAGGAGAAAGCCATACTCTGTGACGTAAATCACCTTGGAAGGTGTCTGCACAGACGTGCTCTGCATTCCACACCACACAACCTGGATACAGGTGTATAGACCTCAACCTACTGTAGGGGTCAGGTAAACACCATTCAGACAGTGGTTGGGATTCCCTTTTTCCACCATCAAACCTGGTATAACCCTCACAGGAGTTTTGCAGCCCATTTTTAGCCAAACCCTCCATCCCACCCTGGCAGAAGCAGACCAACAAAAGGCCACGGTGACTCCAGAAAGAAAACCTCTGTATTAAAAGCCAGATAACGCAGAGCTACAATAATACACACTATCTCAACTGGGAAATACAGTGTAGAAGGTTCATTAAAGTTCAGCTTCAGCATTAACAATACATATACTGCTCCAGCTCTCCATCCTGCCCTAAAGAGACTTCCCTTTCTGTAAATTAAGAAAACAAAACCACTCAAACTGTATCCATATACAAAAAGCTACCCCGACTACAACAAAGGCGGTTGGGTGGGAAGGTCTTTTATTTCCCGCGTTGATTTTTTTGGCAGCTTTTTATCTCTTTTTGTTTTTTTTCTTCTGTTTTTTTTTTTGTTTGTTTTTTTTTTACCAAAAGGATCGTTTAAAACGGGTATTAAAGATACAAAACGAGCACACAGGAGCAGGCTCTGCTCCCCTCAGGGAAACAAGAAAAACACGACAGAGTCCGGCCCGTCGGGACACGGTGAAGAGAAGGGGAGTCACCAGGAGAGGCTACTTGGAGGTGGCGGTGGTGGTACCGGCGGAGGTGCTGCGGCGCTGCTCCATGCCGTTGGGCAAGAAGCCGGCGATGATGGGCACGGGCCAGATGAGGGCGGCCACGCTCCACACGATGATGACCAGAGTCATGAAACAAGCCACCAAGGTAGACTCGATGGGCTTGCGGTTCATCCGCCAGCCCGGCTCCCCCTTTAGCTCCTCCAGGCTGAAATCCAGGCAGCAGAAATTCAGTGGCTCGCCTTGCAGCCAGTATTGGCCGGGCTCTGCCGCCGGCGGGTAGGTCAGCGAGGAGGAGGAGGAGGAGGAGGAAGAAGAGGAGGAGGAAGAGGATGCGGCGGGGGCTTGGGGCGCGGAGCCCCGCAAGCGCCCTCCTCGCCGTCCCCGCACCCAGCTGCATCCGACGCAGAGGCGCAAGTCCTGGGGGGCTCCGCCGGCCGCCAGCCCGAGGTGCTCGATGAGCAGCGGCGGCCCAACGCGGTGGAAGGCGGCGGAGAAGAAGGCCCGCCCGTGGCTGTTGGTGGAGAAGAGCAGCAGGTCGCACTGGATGCCCAGCGGGCGGCTCCAGCGCACCAGCAGCGAGCTCAGCATCTGCCGCTGCACGCTGATATTGCAGTGCGGGTCCTCGGAGGGCTGCGGATGGGGACGCTGCTGCTGGTGTTGCTGTTGCTGCCCGGAGGAGGTGGGAGAGGAAGGGAAAGGCTCTTGGCTAGGAGCAGCCGCTGTGCCAGGGTTGGAGGTGCTGCCTTCCTCCTTGCTTGTTGCCCCGTCGAGGTCCATCTCGAGGCTGGCCAAGGAGCTGGAGGAGGAGTTGACAGCGGGCAAGAAGAGCTCTTGCTCCGGCTCCTCCTGCCCGCTGGCAGTCGGCGAGGGGCTCCAGCCCTGGCAGGGCGGCAGGCAGGCGGCCAGCAGCGCCGGGAGGAGCAGCGGCAGCATGGCATTAACTTCGAGGCGGAGAGGTGGGAGAGGAGGAAGGAGGAGCGGGAGGCTGCATCGCGCTGCCGGCTGCCATCTGGGAAGGGAGGCACCGGCGCTCTCGCCGAGAGAGCGAGAGAAAGGGAAGGAGGGTGGGGGCAGGCGAAGGGGTGGGAGCGGGGCTGGGGCTGCCGCGGCGGAGAGCCCGGAGCCTCGGTGACGGCAGCGGCTCCCCCTTCCCCTCCTCCCCCGAGCCGGCCCCGCTGCACCGCCCGGAGGGGCCGGCCCGGCTCGGGGAGAGCATTCAGGAACCGACCTCATTCACTTGACTCTATAGGAAGGGAAAATGACGGGGGAGAGGCGGAGGAAGGAGTTTGAGGTGTGCACAGAGGGTGCAGTGGAGGGGCCCTTCCAGCGGTGCTCTGCGAGTGCCGACTCAGCCCCGGGATCTGCTCCTGGGCTGAGGCACAAGGCATCCCGCAACCAGTCCCTGTAGAGAAGATGTAAACGTGGAAGCTTATTACAAGGACCACTGCGAGATTTGGCTGCTTTTTCAGGAAGGCTGCTTTATAAGCATGGCGCTTTATAATCAAGCTATGTACTCCAGCTTGATTCATCACCTTGTGCTATAGACACAGGTTGAGGCTTTTGGTCTTGTAACACGTGGAGCCTCGCGGAGGGACAGAAGTGCATGAGACAAATGATAAACGTTCCTTAGCCTTTACTTTGGGCAGAGGGTGGGGTGGAGTTACATTTTCCTGACAAGCATCCATAACTGAGACGCTCTTCTTTGCCTTTGCAGCTCATTTTTGACAAATACAGATGCAAAAGGGAGATGTGAACACGAAACCTAAGCTTTCCCAAGTACATGTGGGACAATCGATGTAAAGAACTCCATAAGGTGCTCCTCTGAGGCTGGCATTTATCCCACATCATACATGGTCCCACGTCAAGCAACACATGGGCGAGTTCTCATGTGGAGAATGAGTTCCTGTAGTATCACTCTCAAGTCTTTCAGGTAAATGAGGGTAGAGAGTAAGTTTTACACTTGCTATAATTCAACAAATATGAAGCTAGAGAGTCAGTTTTCTTTCAAAACCCATGCCACAACAAAAGTCAGAGTGGTTTGCCTTCTATTTAAGAGATCTGAGCACCAAAATGGACTTGTGTTTAGTCCCAAGGGTATTGTCTACCAAATGCCTATAGTTTGGCTAGCGTTTTAGTTTGGTACAGAGAAACATGCCTAATGAAGCGTTCAAAGCAAGTGGCCCCGTTCCCATTCTGGGTTTTTGCTTAGATGTTACAATACAGTTGTTTCATCATTCAGTGCCGTTTCAATGTCTTTTATTTAAGAGTCCCCTAATACTTTTTACTGTCCTTTGAATGTGTCTCTACATGCATCTCCTGATGTTCTTTGTCATATCCACAGACTCATGCATTAGTGTGGCTGTAAGTTTTTCCGTTGTATTGTGTCTACAGACCCCAAACCAGATTAAGAGAGGGCCAGTGTGTAGCAAATCAAGCCAAAACTGTGCGAGCACTCACGGGCACAAATAACCTTGCATTGGGCTTTTGGCACAAAGAACCTGGAAATGAAGCTAAGCCTCATAAATAAGATTTAGCTCCTGAACACTGTTGCAGTATGTGGGTGGCGAATGTTCTCAGGCAGAGCTTCAGTTCTTCTGGTCTCAACTCCCAGCACCCGGCTGAATGCAATCAGGGGGATTTGTGAAGGAGTCAGTCTGGGGAGGGAGAGTGGAGCTAGGAAAAATAACCGGCCATTTAGCATTATTGAGACTACCCCAGCAAAGAACCAAAGAAGGGCAACTTATTTCAGGTTGGAGAGGCATGGGTGCCTCATATCTATTCCTCTTCATCAAGGAATAATTGAGCAAGTGGGTAGAAGAAGTGGAAAGGATGCTGCATTATTGGTTGATAGCCACTGTCCAGCAGGGCCCTTTGGACAGATTTCATTTTTAGGTCTATCAGATATAATTAATCCCTGCGTGGATTCAGTCATTCAAAGAGGTAGCAGCACACTAGAAAACTCGTTAGAAGTAGTATTAATAGATAGCTCTGTTCTGTGGCTTCCAGGCATAAATCTCAAAGAACAAAGTAGTTTCGTGGCTGGGGAAGCTGAAGCATAAAGAAAGCATGGGCCAGCCAAAGGGGACCTACAAGTCACGGGCAGATCAGGGCATAGGTTTTGTAGGTTTGATTCTATAGCTATAACTGGAACTTTAATATGCACTGTAGGTCACAGCAGCATTTTTCAGTGTGGTAGAGGAGGTGTGAAGTGGGCTATGATGATAACGTTTTAGAAGGGAATAATGAGGTATCAAGACAGTAGGAGTTTCATGAGACAGACTGCAGAGCTTTGGGGAGGATAAAGACTAATGATAAGGGGCAATCAGAATCTGTGAGAGTTGTTTCAATGTCATTTGAACTAAACCTTTTTATTAAAGTATAGCTTGGAGAACTACTTCAAGTCAGATGAAATCAAGAATAAGCATTTCTGCCCAAGTGCCATTAAAATTGCTTCCCATGAGGGTGCTGGCTTAGATCATGAAGTCTCACTGCAGCTTCTAGAAACTGACCCTAAGCAGGTATAGATTCCAGAAGGAAATCTGCAATTGCATTCAAGTCAAAAGCTTGTGAGCCTCAAGCAGTGTTTCTTGACTCAGCAAACTTTAGTCAATATGCACTGAGGAAAGAGAATAACTGGAACAGTTCTTGACAGAGGATGTGCTTCTGAGATTGTCATTTCTGAAGGGAGTTGCATGTGGGAGAGAAGATGGGACAGTAGTAAAGACCTGGATACCCAGCTCTAACATCACAGGGGTATTTGCCTGTGGAAAGACACGTACTGACAATTACAGGAGAAAAGATGTTAGGAGCAAATAGGTAGAGTGATGCAGTGCTGATCTCTGTTGAAGTGCCAGGTAAATGAGGAGGATTTGACAGCAGCTGAAAAGGGAGGTATTTGAGTCCTCTCAGAAAAGAGCAGTTTCAGTTCTGTGAAAGAAGTAGGATCCAATCGTGCTGGGGATTGTTCTAAGAGACAGATTTACTGCCAGTCAAGGAAAAATGTTTCTGTCATATAATTTAGAAGGCCAGTTTGGGTAATGGTTTCACAGCTGATGTGTGGGGAGAAGCTCGCAGTAAGCTGATCATATGATGGCTGTAGAATATGCTCTTTGAAGAGTCATTAATAATCACTGGGTTGCTGGTTGAGGAAGGAGCTATGGGATGTTTCGTACTGCCCACTGATGCGTTGCTTTGATTGTGAACTCAATGATCAGAACCTTCTCTCTCCTTTTTAACCATAGACTCATAGAATGGTTTGGGTTGGAAGGGACCTTCAAAGCTCATCCAGTTCCAACCCCCTGCAATGAGCAGGGACATCTCCAACCAGATCAGGTTGCCCAGAACCACATCCAGCCTGGCCTGGGATGTCTCCAGGGATGGTTCATCCACCGCCCCTCTGGGCAACATGTGCCAGTGTTTTACCACCCTCATTGTACAGAGTTTCTTCCTCCCATCCAGCCTGAATCTCCCTCTTTTAGGTTAAAACCATCACCCCTCGTCCTATCCCTAAAAAGTCTCTCCCCATCTTTCTTATAGGCTCCTTTTGGTATTCTTCTGTATTTGCCAGAAATTATTTATGATGAAACACTTAAAGGCTACTGATGCATCTGCAATGAATAATAGAAGCTGGTTGGACTAAGTGGCTTGCTACTGCTACATCATGTCAGAAAGATTTATCCACAGAGAACAGAGATCATGCGCTCTACAGAGCAAGTCAGGGTTCTGCACCACCCTTTATATGAATAGCAGAAGCCCAGACAAAGGGAACAGCCAGTTGGCAAACAGGCTGACAACAAGGGCACAGTCTCTCCGGAGAAGTCAACACATCTATCTCAGCAAAGACACTAAGCTTGTCATTTTACATGCATTTCTATCTGCAGCAGATACTGCTTCCACACCACCCTCTCAGTTATACAAACAGACATCCCTGAAGCCCTGAAACAGCCCATGTCAAAGAGCTGGGACACATGACTGCTATTTTAAAATGCCTTTGGCATACATGCCCTTTTTCAGTAAGATACCAAAGACATTTTCAGCCCAGCCTTAACCCCAGTGTTTAACCCCTTATCCAAATCATCTGCAAAAAGCTGTACCTGTGTAGCTGAGGGCATGAGGCAAGGCAGCAGGGAAAGGGAGAGGGTTTGAGCAGCAGGGCTGTTTAGCCACTGCATGTCAAGATGGGCTCTAGCGATGTTTCTACAGTCTGCAAACCTTATGGCTGATAGAGCGTGGACCAAGAGAAAGTCACTGCCATCAGGAATCCAACAGAAGTACTGAAGGAGTTATCCATGGCAATTACTACAGAATCTAATCCAGCTGCAAATATGGTTGCGAGCAATCAGGAGACCATTGCTCTCTACAAGTGCCTGAGAGGAGGTTGTAGTGAGGTGGGGTCGGTCTCTGCTCCCAAGGAACAAGGGACAGGACAAGAGGAAACGGCCTCAAGCTGCACCAGGGCAGGTTTAGATGGAGCTGAGGAACAATTCCTTCCCCAGAGGGTGCTCAGGCATTGGAACAGGCTGCCCAGGGCAGGGCTGCAGTCACCGTCCCTGCAAGTGTTCACACAGCGTGGAGACGAGGCCTCAGTGCCATGGGTTAGTGGTGGCCTTGGAGTGCTGGGAACGGTTGGACTGGGTGAGCTTAAAGGGCTTTTCCAGCCTGGTTCATTCTATGATTCTAAATCAAGACCCTTCCCATCACTGTCAATGTACAAGCATAATCAAAAAGAGGGGAAAACCAGAAATGTCTTAAGCACACACACACAAAAAAAAAGATGGAACAATTAAAACCAAATTATTCATCTTCAATAAAAAGAGCAACTTTGGGAATTGTTCAGCAGCTGCATCAGCCAAAACAGGCACACGGACAAAGTGACAGCATCACAAGAATATTCACCTTCTCAAGAAAACACACTGAAGGGAGCGCTGATAGCTGTTTCCAAGGAAATTATGGCTACACGTTGTGTAAGGAGAGGAGTGAAGGGGAGGTGGGTTTAAGATTTTATTTTGTTTTTCATTGCCCTCCAGAAGAGAGCTGTCTCAGAGAGATGTCAGTCTGGCTGGTGAATGCTTACACAGCTTACAAAGAGAATGACATGACTCCATGCTCCTTTGGAAATGCTGGTGACCAGAGGAGTGACTGGGGAGAACCTAAGAGCAGCCAGACCTACATCAGAATTACAAAGAACAGAATAAAGAATAGCAATA